TGCATTATTGTAAAGTAAAAGGGTAGAAAAGTTGAAGTGGTTGTAGAGGGCTAGGGAAAATAATGAGAGTAATAGCAAATAAATTAGGGTGAGTAAAATTTTTTTCTTGATTTTTTTTTTTTCCTGCCTCTTTCCCCTGCTTATTTGCAAATAGAGTAGGAAAATAATTCAAAGTAAATTTCCTGGGAAGCAAGGTAAACACTTTTACACTTTTGTTTCTTAAATTACTACTTGTACTGATCACCAGTACTTTCTCACTGCAGTTGGACCTTTGTTGTGCTCAGGAATTTTTTTTCTTCTCTAGCCGCTCTCCTGTTGTATCTGCAGTGCTGTTCAAACCATTTTTTACAAAACCTTCAGTTCCTCCTTGGTTCCTCTCACTTTCACTATGGACTTCAGACCCTGATGGTTTGGGTTTATTGAATCCAAACTTGCTAAGTGATTCTGAGTAAGGGAGTTGCCTTGTAGACTAGTGAGACCGTGTATTTAAAGATTAAGAACAATACCAAGCCATTTACTAAGGCCAGTAGCAATTAAAATGAGGTTACTTGATATATTAGTTAGTGTTGCTTTATAGCAAACAGTCCCAAAACCTGAGTGGCTTAAAACAACAACTGTGATTTACTTTAGGATTCATCTAGGCAAGTCTGGCTTTATTCAGGCTTGGCTGACCTCATACAGTGGTGGCTGGTTGGCCCGGGGTTGGCTGACCCTGGTAGCCTCATGTTCTGTTGGTTGGTTGTCTGTAGAAGCAACAGGAATGACTAGGGTACATCTGTCTCATCATTCAGCTAAGTTCAGTTGTTGTTGGAATTTAAGGCCCTCAGCAAGAGCCTCTGTTTTCTTCTCCCTGTTTTTAATGTTTTCACTTTCAGTGTTTCTTAAACGTAGTCTGCCAAATTCTAGCCTTCATCCTTGAATTTTGAAAACAAGACAGTGTCTTAGTCATCTCTACATTCTCAGTGGATAGTCTAAATAGTTAAATAAACGCATAAGAACAGCTCTACCTATGTGGACTCTCACATTATTACCCTCACCTTCTAGTCCTTTAGTACGTACTTCCGTGTGCTGTCTACTTTATGAAGTCATTTTATATTGAAGCATTGTTGCTAATTTAACATTCTCTGTCTTAAATAGATTGTCTAGATGTCTAAAAGTAGCATGAAGGCTATTGTGTTCATCAGTTGCAGTAAAGTTTGGTCCCTTAGTTTTAAATACAGTTTTTTAGGCAAATTTGTAACCGCTAGTTAGACGATACTGTATCTGCTGTCTCAGCCTGCCCAAATTTATAATAGGATATAAAGAATTCCATGTTTTTCTGGACCTAGGAGAGAGAAGTTTCTAGTTTTTGTCCTTTGTTTCTATTTTTAATTTAAAAGTGCTTGCAGAAAATGAAAACAAAACAGTTACAAAAGGAAACACTTACATATGCATTTTTCTGCTTTGGCTATTTTCTAACTTGCTTTTGGGGTCTATTAAAATGAACAGTCATTGCTGTTTTTCTTTTTCCTTCAGTTTTGTGAAAGTCACAGTTTAGAGTTTTTGGAGAGTTAAAATACCATTATGCAGTTTGGTGTGATGGGGAGGAAGAAAAGACTCATGTCTCAGGAGAACTAAATTCTAATCTTGTCTTTGTTAATGACTTACTGGTGACTTTGGGAAAATTTAACTTCACTTTCACTGAACTTGATCACTCAAATTCTCTGCTGTTTCTATTATGTGTATATCTTTGGAATTCAGCAATAACTATTACAGTTAAGCATAAATGTTTAAAATGAAAGAAATGGATAATACTATTAATACCTCCAGGGTTATAATAGCATGCAGTGAGTATATGGAGTAGGAATATTTTGAATTCATTTTTTAAGTAGGTATTCGTGAAATGGACAAAGAATTGATGGAAGATTAGCAGGAATGAGATGTGTAAAGCACAGAGGTGAGAATGAGTGTAAACATAAATCCTACAGGCCAGAGTGTTAAGGTTTCAGTGTGGTTGCCTTCTATAAGGAAAACCATACCTCAAAAAACCCCCATTTCCCCCATATTTCCCTGTTTGTTTATTCATTTACTTACTGTGGTGCTGGGGATGGAACCCAGGGCCTTCCTTGTCAGGGCAAGCTACTGCTGAACCACATCCACAGCCCTAACAATTTTATTTCAGAGGGTTTTTTGTATGAAAATTCCATCAGAAGCACTGATTTTACCTCTTCTCTCAGAGGGGCACCCACCTCATGCTGCCCCATAAGACAGCATAGCCTCTTCCTAGTGATGCTATTAGGGAAAAGCACTAGGACACATTTGATAGGGCACCTTTGTGTGTGTTTGGGTTTTTTAGTCATCAGAAATATCTTACATGTCCCTCCCTAAAAGTAAAGCAAACTTGCAGGGTTTCTTCTGGGACTTTGATTTGTGGATTGTATTCTCTGTCTGGATCAGTGCTTTTCAGCAGAGTGTCCTGACATCATGGGAATTTCCCACGTCTGTTTGTTCCATTGAAAAGAACCTCAGAGAAATGAGGCTAATGCAATTGAGAAATCAAGTTTTAAATTTTATTTAATTACAGCTATTTTAAATTATAAGTGCCATACGATGCTAGTGACTACTATAATTAATATTGATTAGTTCTAGGCTAGAACTTTATCTTTTCTTGTTTCTAGTTGCTTATTACATACGAGGTCCTGTTGCCTTAGACTCCAAAGTATTGGGATTATAGGTGTGTGCCACCAAGCCTGAACCCATACATTCTATCTTAACAATCTGAATGGACTCCCCTTCACAAAAAAATTATCTTCTCCGGAAATACCTTCCTGTTTCACTTTCTCTTTTCATCCAAGTTCGCTGAGATACACAGAAAAGGTACTTCCTCCTGAAATTTCTCTGCCTTTGGCTTCTGGAGCACCAGGTTCTCTTGTGGCACATGATTTGCTCACCAATCCCCCATTTGTGTGTGTGTGTGTGTGTGTGTGTGTGTGTGTGCGCGTGTGCAAGTGCGTGGCAGTCATTCTTTTGCTCATAGTATGGTCCGTATCTGCCTTTCTGCCTCCTACACTTCATATCTGTGCTTCATGTCTCTCTGGGGCTAGCAGAGTGGCTCAAATGGTAGAGCACCTGCCTAGCAAGCATGAGGCCCTGAGTTCAAACCCCAGTATTGTCAAAAAAAAAAAAAAAAGAAAGGTGCCATGTCTCTCTGGATACCACCAGCATCTGGATCACCTAGTGTAGTACCTGTCACATCTTGCCTGTAAAAAATGTTAGTCCCTTTGTAAACTATAAATTTGTATCATTTCCAGGTTTGGAGATCTCTGTTACATATTTTAATTCTGTTCTTTGTTTTAATGTTAGTTTCTTGATATTTTAAGGAAAAGTGTTCATACTTTTTTTCAAGGATGCATCATACTGATTAAGCAAGCTAATCAAGAAACAGTCTGTGTCTTCAAGTGCTTAGCAGCACAGAAAAGAAGATACTTAAATGAGTGACTGTAGTACCATGGTTGATGTTATTTATGACAGAGAGATGAAAGGGCTTGAAGAACTCAGACTCAGGTGAAGGAGTGAGTCGGAGCAGTCAGGCTAAAATGAGTAAGAAAAGAACATTACAGTTCAGTACGTTTGAACCCAGCAAATGTTCCACCTGGACTATGGATGGGACTTAGTATGAAACATCTAGAACATGCAAATAACTCTAAACCTACAAAGTTGGTGCTCAGGTTACTTTTTGATTATGTATTGAATTGGTAATATGGATAGATGTAAATCCGTTGTCAGCAGTCAGTGTGCTATAAGTAAATTGTAAAATGGGAAAATTAGTTTACTAATGGCTACTGGACAGAAGAAGAATAACTCATTTTGTTGTGAACATGCCAGACTGTTGCTTCGTGTGATCTTAACATAGGTAATGAGGCTCTGGTGTATATATTAGGACTATTAGGTGCGACTAATTGAAGTGATTTCTTGCCATTTTGGAACTGCTTAAACACACAGCGAGGAGGGGTGCTAAACTAGTGATAAGAGAAGAAGGGTTTAATAAAAGGTTTTGACTAATGAAAACCAAGCCAGTACTACAGTGAGCAACATCTTAATGCTATTACAGTATAAAGTATTTCTTTGAGCCCCATTTAATCTGTAAGCATGGTTTGGGAAAAATCCCAAACCATGAATGTATCGAGATACAAAGCATTCTTTTGTTCTGGTGGAAAACAGTACCGCTTCACTGAATTTTGGGGAAAATGATGTTGATTTAGATTATTAGTAACTAAGGAGAAACACTGAGTTAAACGAAAGCACAATTCTCTTATTTATAAATTTATAGAAACATTTTGAATAGTCTTTAATTACTAGTTCAGTGAAACTACTTAGGATTATAGGAGAAAATAAATTAGGACAAAGCCAGTTCTTAAGTATGAATTACATGAAGTGGTTCCTGCCGGAATGCTGGGGGAAGCCCAAGCCTCCCTGACCTTCAGGTCTGGTGCACTTGCTCTTCACAGGCACCTGTGGGGATCAGCACACCATAGGGATGTCACAGCCGAAGGATGTGTCAGTGGCCAGGGGTTTTGTGCATACTGTTGGTGAACCACACAAGTACCTTCAAACAGTTTGAACAATCTTCTAGGTTCCACCATGTGTTGACAGTTTAGCAGACAGTAACTGTAAAATTGAAGTTCCGCAGAGAGGTTGAAACTTAGATATTCTAATTTAGTGGAATAATCAAAGAAATAAAGAGTACAGAATTAATCTTTCAGAGTTGTTTACTTTTGTCTTGTGTTTGAAATTGAATGAGTGTTGATTGAGCAACATTACCAGAAAAATTACTGTTTATAACAGTTCTTCGTTTTTGAGGGTAGATGATCCAAAATAAGTTATAGTAACATTATGTTTTCTAATGGTTGTTTCTTTTCTTTTTTTTTTTTTTAAATACTGGGGTTTGAACTCAGAGTACCCGAGGCCCTACCACTTGAACCACCCCCAGTCCTTTTTTACTTTATTTATTTTTCTGATAGGGTCTCAGTCCCCACCTCCTGTGTAGATGGAATTCTAATGGTCCTTTTAAATGCAGTTGTAGAAGTTATTTCTCTCAGTTCTGCTGTCTCTGGGGCAGGTGCAGATGAAGATGAAATCTCAGGTAACTTCATTTCACTTTTGGAAAATCTTTTCTGATAAAATGTCGGTGTAGCTATCAAAAATTGGAAAACGTCACCAACTTGTTTTTCTTTTTTTTCAAGACTTTTGCCATTTGCCTTTCGTGTCCAAGAATCATTAAAGTAAGAAACTGTAGAATGCTTGTTGTTCATAAGTAAAACACTCATAACTGGAACTTAGATTTCGTTAGTGATCTCCTCTTTTAGTTGTCCTTGAGATGTTAGAGATTTGCTCAGACTCTTAAAGAGTGTGGTTTCAATTACAGTATTTTGTAACTGACCTTATTTTGTGAGGACTAATCAACTCTTAACCATTTTTCAGGTCTCATCACAACCACGTCAAGGAAGCTAGACCGGGAACAGCAAGATGAACACATACTAGAAGTGAGCATTTCCAAACACATCCTATTCTGAAGTGGTCTCTTCTCAGAAGGCTTCTTATTCTCTGGTTATTTGCTAATGCCTTCTCCCTTCTTGTCAGCCTGGTCGTAGCTGCAGTCAGCAGGTCGCAGAGAGAGGGCTGGCGAAAGGTGGAGGAGGGAAGTAGAGTGCAGTGTGGCCAGAGCCTCCTGGTACTGCCTGCAAACCAGGGAGGAGCCCTGAAAGGGGCAGCCCTCTGCAGAGGGGAAAGCGGCAGAACAGCTTCTGCTGACACTTCTCTGTTATGTGTTGAAAGGCTAGTATTGGTTATTGGAGCCAGACCTGGAAAAGCCACATGCTTTTACTTAATTGTGAATTAACTTGTGCAACTTGTCCATTTGGACAGTGTGAATAATACATAATTCCAAATGATGATTTTTTTTAATAATGTTGTTTATAATGGTCCTACTAAATTTCATTTTATCCTTGGTTGAAATTTCCTGTCAATAAAATACTTAGTTTTAATAGCTATGTAGTGTGTGTGCGCATGTGTGTGTGCGTGAGTTGTAAACGTCCTGCCTGGAAAAGGTTTCACAGTTACAGTGTGTTCCCATTAGTAAGGGTCATACATTAGCTATAGTTTTAGTTCATAGGTTGTGTAGCTCCCTTGAATTGATTTTCTTCATTATAGAGCAGTTTTGAATTTTCATTCAGTTGCTGCAAGAACTGACAAAAAAGAGAATATGGATACAGAAGAAAATAAACAAAAGACAAAGCATTGAGAATAGCAGGTTATAATTGACATCTCCTCAGCCTCGTTATACCTGAGAGTTTTATGGTGATTGGGTGTATGCCTCACTCCAGAACCCTTTTTTTTCCTCAGCAAATGTCAAAGGCAAGGTGGAAGCAAATGTAGGGCATTTAAGTCTTTGAAAATAAAATATTAAGGTGTTAGTGGAAAATAAGATTTGTAGTGTTTGTTTACAACTCATGTTTGTCCCCCTATAGTTTCTTTCTGGTCATAAATTCAAGGGCCAGTGCTGGTACTGATCGGTCTCTCTGAAAAAAGAGAGTGTTTTTCCATCAAAATGTTAGAAAAGCTACTAGCTATTGACTCTAAACTTAGGAGCAGCTGGGTGTGGTGGTCCATGCCTGCAATCTTAGCACTCAGGAAGCTGAGGCACAGGATCATGAGTCTGAGGCCAGTCTGTTTTATATAGCAAGACTATCTCAACATAAAACAAAAAACTTAGGAGCAATTTGGTGATGAATACCAAAAAGCATTGTTCTTGGTTGTATTTCTCTTTTGTGTTTTTTTCCAAAGGTCATATGATAACTGATCAAAAGGAAATGTTTTGAGGTTAAAATTAAAAGAATAATTTTTATTTTGTTCAATAAAGCTTGGAAAGATAAACTCTGTAGTTTAGCATGGGAAAACAACTGCTGTTACTTAAGTACTCTTGACAAGTCCATAAGGACATATTCATCCTTTTACATACCTATAGATAAGATTTATAATTACCAAGTTCCAAAAAGAACAGTTACCTGGAAAACTACTTCAGTGTTTTAAATATTTTAGTAATTAATTTGGAAGAAGGGTGGGTGAGTGGAGAATAATTATTACCAAGGTCTTCGCTTTCAATGTTTATATAGCTCTAGGTGCAAGCTTTGTGGGTGAGACTGACTTTTATACACATACAGTCCCAGCACAGTCCCCGGACCCTGATCTTCACTCTTTATCTCAGTCCAGGGACAGTTTAGTTAAAATGGAAGTTATTTTGCATTGCTTTTACTGAAAATCTTACTTAATATATTGGTCTTAAATTTAAATGCTTGTCTAGTATTGATAAGCATGTAAAACTTGGGTACAAGAGAGAGCCAAACAAAATAACAGTCACTGGTATTTAAATCTGTAATACTTAACACATATTTTAAAGTGATGATATAGCACATTATTGATGAAGGTTAAAAATGATAAATGCAAATACACAGAGAGTTTATGTGTAAGTGTACAAAATGTATTTTTTTAAAGGATTGTCTAGATATTTAAAGCAGAATCTTTATGTATGCCTTCCATGACTAAGACTCTTTTAAGTTTCTGGTAACTTAACATTTTGGCAAAGTTCACTTTACAGTTACAACAGTGCACAGAGGAGAGACCCCCGGTGAGGGAGGAGCGAGGGTGTCACTTGTTCCCCAGTCACTGCCCCGCTCCCTGCATCCCTGCCTGTAAGCCTCGGAGAGGTTGTTAGCTGCGTACAGGGTCATTGTCAGAATGAGCACAATGATATGGACTGTAAGCTATGTGAGCTGTACAATGTGTGCAAATGCTGATTTTCTTCAGGAAAAAGACGTTAGCTTTCTATACATTTCAGAAGCATTTATTAATCTATTGCCTTTTAAAAACAGGTTACTGTGACAGACAATGGTATGCCCCCCAAGTCAACCACTGCAAGGGTAATTGTGAAAATCCTTGATGAAAATGATAACAAACCTCAGTTCCTGCAGAAGTTCTACAAAATCAGACTCCCAGAGCGGGAAAAAACAGAACGAGACAGAAATGCCAAACGAGAGCCTCTGTATCGTGTTATTGCTACAGATAAAGATGAAGGTCCCAATGCAGAAATCTCCTACAGCATCGAGGATGGAAATGAGCATGGCAAATTTTTTATTGAACCAAAAACTGGAGTGGTTTCATCCAAAAAGTCATCTGCAGCTGGAGAATATGATATTCTTTCAGTGAGTTATGATTACCATGTTTGAGTTTCTTAATATGCATTGACTATGAACCTAGTCTTGTATCTTTCATAACTTTGTCTCTATTCAGTTAAATGGCTTTAGTGTTTGCTATGTAACAATTAGGCAGTGCCTAATTGAGCAGTGTGGGTTTGTTTATTCTTTTCAACTCTCCAGTTACTTGTTATTTATGTGGAGTGTGGTCATGAAGTAGTTGTTCCTTTCATCAAGCATTAGACATAGTCAACACAGATCTAGATATTAAGTGTTTGAAATTGACTTGAATGAATCTGTACTTCAATGTGGGATATAGTTCCTGATTTGTTGGTTTTATCCCTTCTGTTAATTTTTTACAGATTAAGGCAGTTGATAATGGTCGTCCTCAAAAGTCATCAACCACTAGACTCCATATTGAATGGATCTCTAAACCCAGACCATCCCTGGAGCCAATTTCATTTGAAGAATCATTTTTTAGCTTTACTGTAATGGAAAGTGATCCAGTTGCTCACATGATTGGTGTGATCTCCGTTGAGCCTTCCGGCACACCTCTTTGGTTTGACATCATTGGTAAGTGTTGCTTGTAGTTCTCATTGTCCTTGTACAAGTTACACTGAGAAGGAACCTGTATATGCTTTTCTGATTATTGTGCACATCTCAGATTTAAAATTGGGAGTAAGAACTATAGGTGGAAAATTTCCTTTAGGCTGTAATATTTTTATGACAAAATTTTTCATAATATACAGTAACATACAATAAACTTATTTAAAATAGGTACTCCATAGCCACCAAGTAATTAATATTTTTAAAAAGTAGATCAAGCAGTTTTCAGAGAAATCTAAATGCTTTATTCCAGTTTTAATACATATAACACATGGTACATTTTTTTTAAAGTGAATATTTAAAGTAGCTATGCATCTGTGACTGTCACGTGTCAGTATTTAGTAGACAATGAGCTTATAAACTTTGATTTGTATGACTTAAACAATTATAGTGTCAACTATAGCTTTTGAGTTTTATTTACCTCATTTTAGTAGGAAGCACATTTCATTAGACTATTCACTCTTATAAAATTAGCATGCTCAAGTCACTTTTTCCTTTTTGTCATTCAATGAGCTCATACATAGAATATAATACCCCATTTAACATAATTTTTAAAAATTTACATTAGACTACTGGATGAGATAGAGCACACCCGTAACCCCAGATACTTGGGAGGCAGTGATCACAAGGATCATGGTTCAAAACCAGCCTGGGAAAAAAATTAGCAAGACCCTGTTTCAACAAATTATCTGGGGTCAGTGGTACACATCTGTGATCCCAGCTAAGCAGGAGGCATAGTTAGGAAGCATTTAGAAGGGTCATGGTCTGAGGCTAGTCCCAGGCATATGTGGAAGAACCTATCTGAGAAATGAGTTAAAGCATGAAGGGGATGGTTCAAGTGCTAGAGCACCTGCCTAATACCATTAAAAAAAAAAAATTACATTAGCCTTTGACATCTTAGATACCCTCACCTTTTTATGAGACAGGGTTTTGCTAAGTTGCCCAGGCTGGACTTGAACTTGCAACACCCCTGCTTCAGCCTTTTGAGTACCTGGGATTATAGGAGTGTACCACTCTGCCTGACCATAAATCCTTTATTTTCACAGTATTTTAATTACAGTGGTACTTAGAATCAAAAGTGTGTGTGCGAGTCACTCTAGTTGGAACGTCAGATCACTTTTCTCTGATACCCCTTGGCCGTGTTGCAAGCAAATGCTTTTTCACATTGGAGGTGGACAGGCTTTCCCTCTAAGCTTTCACATGAGGCGGTTGTGCTGCTTTCTTCAGTTTTGGTCACTGTATGAAATGGTGTTGACAGCACCTCTGAAACCATCACAGTTTCTTTTAGGGGAATGTGGTTTTCATAGTTAACTGTAATAAGGAGATTTGGTCTGCTTTCTCCTAACCATATCCTGTTTCCAGATTCACAGGCTCTGTGTGCAGTATCTGACTTCGTGTCTCACTGTGTTTGGAACTGGTTTGATTGACTGTTCTTCTTCTGTGCTTGCTTTCCATGCTTGCTTGCTTCTTTTGGCTGTGCCAGGAGATACACTTGCTAGAGAAGTTTTTTACATCTTTCAGATGACTTGTGACCTGAGCTGTACAGCAGGAGGTATCTGCTGAGATCACATAATTTGCCTCAGATTATGAGATCTAAAACAAAAGCATCAAGTTTTCATAAAACTTTTTTTATTTTCAGTGACTCTTTTGTTGTTGTTTTTTTTCATAGTGTGCACATGGTCACCCATTCCAATTGCAAACATGTTATTTTTTTAAAATGTTATTTACTAATTTTGCAAAATGATGAGTTTCATTATGACACCTTCATAGTTGCATACTATGTATTTTGATTATATCCACCCCCATCACCTTCTGCTGTCGCCCCTCACTCCTCTCCAAGTCCTCCCTGCCAATGAGTTCCCCCTTTTTTTTTTTTTTT